GGAGGGCTGGGGGGAGGACTGGGAGGGAGTCTGCCCGGCCCCTGCACTTAGGCCACACTGCCCTTTCGAACCCAGCACAGTTCCTTTCCCTCTCCCTCCTGTCCCGCATCTCTCCGTGTCTCCACTGGCCATCTGTCCACTAAGCATCTGGTGAGGCTCACAGGGAGCCAGACACTGCTGGATGCTGAAGGCACAGACCCCGCCATGCTCAGAAAGCCTGCAGCCTAAGGGAAACAGGTCATCTAGTGACTCAGTCACCACGAGGCAGGGCCTATAACAGGGGCTTTTACTAAAGGCAGCCATGGGGTATAGGAGCAGCCAGCCCCCTCTAGGCCAGTGGCTCTCCGTGGCTGGAACAGGTCTGGGACAGAGCTGATCTCCACTCTCCAGTGTCACCAGCACCTCACTGGAGAGCGGGCAGGAGGGAGCGAGCCCATGAGGGAGGCCGGCTTTGGGCCATGCCCCCCAACAGTGCAAGAGTTGCCCTGAGCTGCCTCCTCAGGTTCACATACCCCTCATCCTGCCACCCGGCCCAGGTTTCAAGGAGACGGCCTTCCTGTACTCGGTGTCCGCGGCCGCCCTCACCCACACCCTGGCCCGGGCCTGCAGTGCCGGGCGCATGGAGCGCTGCACCTGTGACGACTCTCCAGGCCTGGAAAGCAGGCAGGCCTGGCAGTGGGGCGTGTGCGGTGACAACCTCAAGTACAGCACCAAGTTTCTGAGCAACTTCCTGGGGCCCAAGAGAGGAAGCAAAGACCTGCGGGCACGGGTAGATGCCCACAACACCAATGTGGGCATCAAGGTGAGCACATTCCTTGGTGGTCTTCCCACACCCTACCCCCAGCACACACACAGAGCCATCCTAAGATGAACCTCATTCCTTCAACCAACATTCCTTGGGCATCTGCTCTGGACCATGACTGGGAAGCAGGGAAGTGTCCTGGGTGTCATCGGCACTGGGCAGCAGGCAGGAGCCAGGCTCGGGACCAGGCCATGGTGAGGAGGAACATGTTTGGAGAGGGGTCTCCATTCCAAGGACTAGCCTTCCTGGAGATCCAACATAGTTTGAAAATTTTGATTGGGTGAAACCCCCACTCTTCCTCCAGTTTTACACATGGGAAAAGGAGGCGGCCCAGAGAAGGGAAGGGACTTAGCTGAGGTCACACAGCAGTGCGAGGACTGGAGGGTAAAAAGCATCTAGGTTTATTGGGATGAGTTCTGTGTTCTGCACCCTCATCACTGTGTTGGCGTAAACCTCGGCTCCTATATTCAGTCGTGCAAGCTGTCTACTCCACAAGGACTCTGGCCAAGGGCAGGAGCTGGGGCTGAGGCCCAGCCCACGTGCTCTCACCAAGGCATGCGCGCTAGCGTAGGACTGCCTCGGCCCAGCGGAAGAGGAGCCTTGGGCTAGTTTGCCACACGGCTAGCTTTCCCATCTTCCTGCCACTCCCCTGCCAGGGTTGGCGCCCTGGGCCTCTGACCATGCCCCCATTCTGCCTCTCCTCGCAGGCTGTGAAGAGTGGCCTCAGGACCACTTGTAAATGCCACGGCGTGTCAGGCTCCTGTGCCGTGCGCACCTGCTGGAAGCAGCTCTCCCCGTTCCGAGAGACGGGCCAGATGCTGAAGCTGCGCTATGACTCAGCCGTCAAGGTGTCCAGTGCCACCAACGAGGCCTTGGGCCGCCTGGAGCTGTGGGCACCTGCCAAGCTGGGCAGTGCCACCAAGGGCCTGGCCCCCCGGCCCGGGGACCTGGTCTACATGGAGGACTCACCGAGCTTCTGCCGGCCCAGCAAGTACTCCCCTGGCACTGCAGGCAGAGTGTGCTCCCGGGAAGCCAGCTGCAGCAGCCTGTGCTGCGGGAGGGGCTATGACACCCAGAGCCGCCTGGTGGCCTTCTCCTGCCACTGCCAGGTGCAGTGGTGCTGCTACGTGGAGTGCCAGCAGTGTGTGCAGGAAGAGCTCGTGTACACCTGTAAGCACTAGGTCTGTTGCCCAGTGTGCCAGCCGGGCACTGCCAGGACCTCTCTCGGCGTCCAGCACCTGGAGGCCACCCCGCTGTCCATCTGGTCCCTCCAGGCAGGTACACCTGCATGCATGCGCTCATCAGTGTATGTGCCAGAGCACATGTACTCCTCTCCATCGCGCCTGGCAGTCTCCCTTCCCTCAACACTCAGCACCGGAGGTGCAGGCCCTAATCCTGAACCCGAGGGTCCTCAGCCTTTTGAGGACTTGGAGCAGGAAGGCAGAGTGGGAAAGTTGTGGAAGGAAATAAGAGAGACAAGGAGGTGGGCAAAACTGAGGTTTTAGAGGGGAGAGAGGGACTCTCCCACCATCTCAATTCCTAGAGCCAGAAAGATGCAGAGAGTTGAGCTTCTGGGTCAAGAAGGCACAGAGAGGCAGTGTCAGCTGGAAGCCAAGGCTGGAATCCGGCTGGGATGAGGCGGTCCTTCCCTTGGGCCCTGCTCAGGTCGCAGTGAGCCCGGGGACCACGCACCATCACTACCCAAATGGCTTTGCTGTGCTAGAGATGAGGGGAGAGGCCAGGTGATGGTAGCTGTTGGTTTTGAGAAAAGAAAGCTTTCTGGGCTTGAGTGGACCCAAGTCAGTTACATGCTCTGGAACTCTGTGTCCTTGGTTGTGTTTAAAATATGCCTGTGCTGAGGCCGTATTGTTGTCTTGAGAGCTGTTATCCACACCCACCCGGCCCTGCTCAGTAAAACTCAGTGGATGCAAGATCCATAGGGAGAGCCAGTCCCCAGGGTAGGGCTTAAATGGTGCACTGAGGTTGCACCGGGAGACAGTGAACCCTCCCTGTTTTCCCTGGGACACAGAACATTTAGTCCCAGCCCAGGAGAGGGATGCGGCAAGCTCAGTGTCTCAGCCTGGTGACACAGAAGAGTTGGCTTATGTGATCTGATTCTGGTTATACTTCTACTCTTACCGCTACTCATTTAATTAAGGTTTTTGCCCAGGGGCATGAAAGTCTTTGCTAAGCCTGGTTTTTTAGCAAAGCCTGGGGGCCCCTTTATTTACTAATGGCCCCTCTACCTGAGGAACAGAAGTAACTTTGCTAATTTTCTCCAACCCTGTGGACATTTCAATGCTATCTACCAAGGCCCTGTGTGGGGAGGAGGAGAGAGAGGCTGGTACACACACACACACACACACACACACACACACACACACACACGCGCGCACATATCCCTTGGACCTGCCAGGCTGAGGGTTCTCGTTTAGCAGCACACACCCCTCTGGTTCAGGACCAAGACTTTGCAGGGATCACTTTGCTGGAGGCTGCATACTTCCCCAGAGCAGGGCACAGTGCCAGTTGGAGGAAGTGACCTCCTCTGGGATGCCCTTGGCCACTTTGCTGGCCCAGCCGCGCCCTCTGTCAGCTTCCTCTCTCTCTGAACCCAGAGTTGCTGACCCTTCGCTGAAACAGGAAACTTCAGAATCAGCTGAATGCTCAAAAATTGTCCACGCAGGCCCCAGGAAGAAGCCCCGGGGCTCCCTGAGAGTGAGAAGGGGCTGCCTGTCATCATCGTGGATCAGGCAGCCTGCAGGATACTGGAAGGATCTCTGGCTGCAGAGGCGCTGATGAGACCCCTCTCTAGACTGGCCACTGACCCAAGCAGCTGGCCCAAATCTGGCAGAAAGAGCAAAAAGGAGAGAGGGCTGGTTTTCTCTTTTCTTCCACACCCCCACCATGTGGAGACTCTCTCTCTGCCAGCCTGATCCATCCTGCTCCTGTGAGACCCAACTCTGCCTCCACCCTGGCTCAGCCCGAGGCCCAAGGCGGCAGGAAGAGGGGGCCTGGTCCACCAACATACCATCTGTACCCCGACTCCATGGCCAGCAATGTTGGGGGTGCATGAGAATAAAGGGCAGACTCTGAGGGACCAAGGCCATTGCTGGCCACCAACACTGACAACCCAGGCCAAGGGCACGGACGCAGGCTCTGAGGGCCCCTCGGCCTATGGGGTCATCCTTCTCCAGCCCTCTCTTCTCTTTTTTGCTCCCACCCTTTCTGTTCCAGTTGCCCCTGAAGGTCCACCTCAGTTCCTGCTGGGACCCTGGGGACCACAGACCCCTAATTCTATATAGCTCTAAGGGGAACACTCACAGGGTATTTGTTGTCTACCTCACATATATAGATTTTAGGGCAAAAGAGAATAATTTATATAGCTAAGATATATGAGAAAATATTTATGTTATTTATACAGTTTCTATAGTCTGTGGGCAGCACCTGTGGCATGCCCCGCTCCCCCGCCCCCCACCTTCTGCACGAGCCCTAGTGGACTCCACCCGGGCCTTCCTTGCGAAGCTGTAACTTCTCTGCTCTTCTGGGTCCCAGGCCCCTTCTTCTGCTCTGGCAAAACTGCCTTGCTCATAATAATAATGGTAACAGGGATGACCACATCTTGCATTTGTAAAGCACTTTCAATCTTCAGAAACACTATTGCCCCTTTAATCTCACTTGATTTCCCCATTATTCCTGTGAGGTCGGTGGGGCCACATCACTGTGCCCGTTTTACAGATGTGGCCCAGGATGGAGGGCTGTGCTCAAAGTCACACTGAAGAGGTTCCTTCAATGAACATTTACTGAACTTCTCCATGTGCCAGGCATGGGGAACTGACTTATAGTGAGCCTGGGAGCCCCAAAGCCCGGATACGCCCTGAGCCCAAGGACCCAAGGAAACGGAGGCTTCCCTGACGGTGTGTGACGTGGGCCATTTCGACCAGGACAGCACTTCAGCATTTTTCCAAATGGAGCCCTGTGTCCCAAGAAGTCTGGAAAGACAAGGACCCTGTGGGGGTCATTCTAGGGCCTCCACCATCGGACCTCCCTCTTCCTACCCAGGCTGCCCGAGAAGGTTGGGCGACATCACAGGACTCCTCCCAGCCACAAATGGATTTGTTTGCTCTTATTTGTGTTTTTATTTTAAAAATGAATTGTTTCCCGTTGGGTTTCTGGCTCCTCTTGTAAAATCAGCTGCATTGGCAGGCTGGGCCTGCATTCCCACTTGGCCACTGTCAGCTGGAGAGGGGGAGCCCTGAGGGAGAGGAGGCACAGGGCTCCCCAGTTTGCGAAGTACCAGCTGCCTCAGCCCATTTACTTATGGATGTTCCACCTGGCTCTCATGGGCACAGCATGTCCACTCCCTTGTCCAGATAAACCCAGTTTCTGTGGTGTCCTCCTTCATCACTTGGCACACAGATTGACAGACCTGTGCCAACCCTGAAGATTATTGCCTGCTTTCCAGAGTATTCTTTCTCAATAACTGTGGATTTCAAATGCTTTTTGTCTCAGCACATTTTAGAATTACAGTGGGAGCTATCATATATTGAGCACCTTGTTCTGTCCATCCATGCAGTCAACAATTGTTTAGGGAGGTCCTACTGAGCACCAGGCACCACCCTGGAGGCTGGGGTGCAGCAGTGAGCAAGACCAAGTCCCTGCCTCTTGGGGCTGACACTCTACTGGGGGAGAGAGACACTAAACCAATAAACTACACGTCAGCTATCTGTACCCACTTTGTCTCCATTTATTGCAATCACCTTACACATTGGGCACAACCACCCCCATCTTATGGTTAAGGAAATAGATGCAAAGGCTCCCAAATGCCACTAGCAAGCAGCAGTGTCAGGATTGAAACACAGAGCCTCCAAAGTATGTGTTCCTTTCTCTCTCCACTGCAGCCTCCCCTCGATATAGGTATTTCAGGGATGGAACACCCTTATGGATTGTGGGTAAACTGAGGCCTAGAGGAAGGAAGTAACCCATTCAAGGTTACATGTCAAGTTAGATCAGGCTAGAGCCTGAGTCCCCTTCTAGACAGGATAAGTGTTTCTAGAGCCCTCATTTCATGGCCAGCAATGCAGGTTGGGGTGGGGGAAAGATAAGGCAAAGCCAGAACCTTCAGGACTTATGATCAGTTAGGAGAAATGAGAGGCACACCGTGCAATGGTCTGGGTCATTTGCGTATCCACCCAAGAGTCCCTCCTCTGGCCACACTGCCCTCCTAGCATGCTTTGGGAAATGCATGTCCTCAACCAGCCACTGTTCCTAGGGGTCTGATGGGGCAGGAGGCCCCTTTCTGAGTAAAGGGAAGCAGAGAGGGCTTGTCCCTGCCCTGCCCCTACTCTCCAGCCCTGTTGGAATCCCAAGGGGTCCCCAGGGAGGGAGGCAGAGGGAGGTCCACAGTCCAACCCCGAGGGCACTGAGAGTTCCACCTGCATGCCTGTCCCAACACGCTCTTCCTGCCCAGTGTTCCTGGGCCTGGAGCTGAGGCAGAAGTGTCTACACGCAGCAGCAAGCTCCAGGGCCCCAAGGGATTTCTCACTCATTTTCCCACTTGAGCCTCACAAGAAGGGCATCCTTCTTCCCTTTTTACAGATAGGGAAACTGAGGCACAAAATGGTTAAGTGACTCACTGATGACCACATAGCTAGGAAGCCAACACAGGTGTTTGTAACTTCCAGCCTCCTCCACCCCCATCTGAGCCTTTCCCTGCTCTTGTCTGTAAACCGGTTCCCAATCAGACCCTCTGGCCTCTCCACCCTTAGCTGCTCTGTGCTCCATTCTTCCTGTGGATCAGTGCTTTCCAAGATAATCGCTAGGCGGGTACTTACCCATGGCGCTCCCCCAACCCTTTAAAGATATTTAGCCACATTTGCTCACTCTGCATGGTTGTATTTTGTTGAACCATTTGTGAGAACACTGTGGGCACCAAGATGCTTAAATATTTTCTCATATATCTCATATAAGAGCAAGAACATTCTCTGAAAGAACCACAAGGCCATCATCACATCCAAGAAATTTGACATTGACACAATATCACCTACTACACAGTCCTTATTGAAACTTTCCCAGTTGTCCCTCCAAATGTCCTTTATTAGTTTTTTTCCTGACTCAGGATCCACTCAAGAATGGAGCATTGCATTTTGTCGTCATGTCTCTCTAGCCCCCCTTAATCATGAAGAGTCCCCCTGCCTTCTTTGTGTTCATGACATTGACATTTTAAATTGTTCAGGCCAGATGTCTTGTAGAATGTTACTCAATGGAGATTTGTCTGATTGGCTCCTCGTGATTAGATTCTGGTTAAGCACTTTGATGAGAAGCCTACTTGGGTGATACGTGTCCTCTGCACCTGTTGTCAGGCACCATGAGATGTCTGTTTCTCAACATTACTGGTGATGTTGCATTTCATCACTTGGCTAACGTGGTATCTGCCAGATCTCTCTGATGTAAAATTGCCTTTTTCCCTTTGTGATTCATGTGCCTGATGACTCAT